ACGTGAGCTGTACCTGTCTGGCCAGAACCATGACAGCTCTAACCAGGGTAAATCCAGCTCTGGACACAGGAAGGACTGGCCTCCTCTGGAAGGACCATCCTCCTCTGGAAGCCTGGCAGAGCTGGGCTTTCCCCCTGTAGTTCCAGCAAATGGGTCTCGTGCCAACAGTAAATGAATGTGACAGATAAAATTTGCTCAGACTGCTGTGTTTACACCCACTCCAAGATCCAAATCATCATTTCCCACTTACTGGCTCTCTTGGCAGCTCAGATCCTACCCCGGCACGCTCCAGCTTGCTGTTTAATGTCTCCATTACAACTGGCGAAGGGAATTGTGTTCTCTTGCAGCTTTACCTTGTTAACAAATCCTTTTTATTTTTTTTTTCCTTATGGAAGCCACGTTGTACCCAGCACAATTTTCCTGGGAGCTGGAAATGCAGGGGAATGGTTTGGTCTGAATCCCTATGTGTGCACCTAAATATGAGCTCTTTGGCAGCACTTTGGCCAAACCCAACCTAAAGCTGTGTGTTTTTTCCAAACATCAGGAAAATACACTCTCCCCWGCCCAGGCAATATTTCTTTCTATCMTCTTTTTTCCTCTCCAAATGTGGACTTGAAGCCTTCCCTTGAAGGCTGAAGGCCGGGATGTGGTTGGTTGATCTAATGGAGGTGGCTGTGAAGAGGGTAGGGAGAAACCCCAAATGAAGAGATTCCTGGGGAAGCCTGTCCCTTTTCTCGCAGGGAGGAATCCCAAATGAGGAGATTCCCGGGGAAGCCAGTCCCTTTTCTCGCAGGGAGGAATCCCAAATGAGGAGATTCCCACGGAAGCCAGCCCCTTTTCTCGTAGGGAGGAATCCCAAATGGAGCACTTTGGGAAGCCAGTCTCCTCATTCCCAGAGATGAATCCCAAAGGGAGAAATTCCCAGGGAGGAATCCCAAAAGGATAAACTCCCAAGGAAGTCAGTCTCCTCACTCYCAGAGAGGAATCCCAAAAGGATAAACTCCCAAAGAAGTCAGTCTCCTCACTCCCAGAGGGAATCCCAAATGGAGAGGCTCCCAGGGAAGCTGGCCTTGCTGTCTGCCTTGAGTGTCCTGCAGCTGACAGAAGTGTGCTCGGCCTCCTTTGACATTCAGGAATTAAGGGTTAAGGATCTTTGTGCTTGGCTTYAGCCTGACACAATTCCTGGGAATGGCTTCGTTCCCACTGGAGCTGGGGATACCCCTTCCCATCTCCCTGCACACTCCCCCAYTTCTCTCCCATAGCATGATCCCAGGATGTAGCCACCAGAATTAAASTAACAAGAGGTTAATGAGCTGCTGAAACATGCACCTGATGTCAGAAAGGACATTCCCCACGCTCTCCAAGGCTGTAAAACCCCAAATCCCRGGGAATTGGCGCTCCCGGCTTTCTATGAAGTGAGCTGAAGTAGGGCAGGCGCTGCGCTCCCATTTGTTTGTTTAACTTTTCCTTCAGACAGTGGGATGCTCCAACCTTCTTCCCGCTTCTCCTCTGTAAACACTGTGTTGCTTTAATTATCAGCACGGAGAGCTCCAAGAACAATAATCTCCGGCGCTGGGGCTGGCGTGGAGCCACCCGCRGCCCCGGGAACAAACGGTCATTCATTTTGCAACCCTTTCTGAACCCGAATGTTTACATCACACGTTTCGCTCCACGTGGTGGGGTGGGGAGAGMAGGAATATTTTTGCAACACTTAAAAGTTATGAGTGTTCTGAAATCTCTTGGCATTAGMAGTATAAATTGTGGAATAGCAGCGGGTGTTTATGCTCCGGAGGGGGAAGGTGTCAGGGATTCGTTGCTGCTGGGCTGGGGCAGAGAACGGGCTGGGATTGGGGGTTTTCTCTTGTTTTCTGCAGGTTTCCTTAAATATTTTACCCTTTTTACAGTCAGGTCTTGCCTACTTACGACAGCTTGGATGAGCCGTCTGTCAAAATTATGAGCTCCATATTTGCTTCTTCCCTAAACGTGGTCACCACCTTTTACATCACGGTAGGAACTTCCCCTTCTCTTCCCTTGCCAGAAATCTGGAGGGGCCACAGGGATGAGGATTTATCTMCAGCTGGGGCTGGTTTCTGCTTATCTGTATTTGTTCTGACAGATARGTCGTCGTGCTGAAAGCAGGGTTAGGTGGGAGGTGATGAACCCAAGAGCACGGGGGCATTGGGAGAGTGCACATTTTCAGAGYAGGATGTTTCCTTGGATGGAGGCAGAATGGAGACCCAGCTTTTTCTGGGCCCAGCCTGGAGCTGGGGCTGCTGCCCAGAGTTTGGGAGAGCTTTTTCCAGCCTGTTGTGAAGGAAGTTATGCCTCATAAGGCAGCAGTTAATAAAACTGGGTTAATAATTCCTGAGGAGAGCCTCGGCCTGTGAGCCATGCTGCTGCAGGGAATTGTGACAGTGACAATCCATGGGCCTGGCAGSAAGCAGAGTGTGTCCTCCAGGAAAAACCACAGGATTTGGTGAGAAACTGGCTTTTAGGCAGCTCCCACTCTTGATGAATGAGCTGGCTCAGGTTTTRGGGTGCTGGGGCTGCTGGCAGGTCGCCTGTGGAAGTTACCCCACTTGGCTGCTCCAACGAGAGGTCACCGTCCTGTCCCCTCTGTGAGGTGGGAATTGTGAAGTGCTGAGTCCAGCCCTGCTCCCCTCCCCAGGTGGGCTTCTTTGGCTACGTGAGTTACACCGAAGCCATTGCTGGGAATGTCCTGATGAACTTCCCTTCCAACCTGGTGACGGAGATGATCCGAGTGGGATTCATGATGTCGGTGGCAGTGGGGTTCCCRATGATGATCCTGCCGTGCAGACAGGCACTCAACACCCTGCTCTTTGAGCAGCAGGTAAGATCCTGGGGCTGCCTTGGTGTCAGCTTGATTTTTGAAGAGTTTTTGTGGCTCTTTGGTCTTTGACTGGGCCCCAAGCGCGCCTCGGTTCCATGAAGCTCTGGTGATAATGGCATGTGGCAGGTACTCGCTATCCAGAGGTACAAACCCTTAACTCCCATAAAATCCTCAGTGCCCAGGGTGTGGTGTCAGGGCAGCAGGAACCCGTGGCCATTTCTAAATCYTGCTCTGCACAATGGTTAATCCCTGGGACTTGGAGGGTCGTGTCCTCTCCACAGAGGAATTCCGTGGGCTGAAGGACCGCAGTTCCCTGTCTTAATCCCTGCTGCTCCCTGCTCTGCTGGGGATTCCAGCTCTGGCACAGATATGTTACACAGAGCCGAGCTGGTTCTTCCCCTCACAAAGAGGAGAAATGTGCTTTTGGAAGCAGTGGAGCCTCCTCATTTCCTGCTGCTCCAGCTGCCGTCCTTTTGCCGGCCAGCTCATTGAGCTCAAGCTCCCGTTCCCGGCCTCGGAGCCCAGCCCAGCCTCATTTCTTCTTGCTTCCATGTGTGCCTGCTCCCTCCCACTCCCTCATTCTCACCCAGCACCTTTGTCAGCAGCCCTGGAGCAGCCCTTTCCCCTCGGGGTTCAGATGTCCCCTTCCCCCAGCGCCTCGGTGCGGGGGCGGGCGCTGGGATATGGGATATGGGATCCAGCCCTCTCCCACACGTTCCACCTTTCCCAGGGCCAGCTCCTCAGCCAGCCTTTGTGACTGAGGCTGGTCTGTGTGYTGGAGACTGTGAGTCCCTTGTGGCAGTGGCGTGTTCTCCTCTGTGCATTGTGCGCACGGAGCGCGCCGATGGGATTCAGCAAATAACAGTAAGAGATTGTGGGAATGTTCTGAGGCCTTTGTGTATCCSCATAAATAGAAACCTCTTAGGCAGGAAATAAAACTTGAGCAATTTATAGCTCTAAATCYTGCCACTTCTGCCTGTGAGAAGCCCCCGGCTCTTTTCTCACGTCGGGAGGGCCTGAGGATGGGGGCAGACAGTCGGTGAGAGCCAGAGGGTGCAGAGGAGGAAGCGCTGGAAACACTTGGGAACGCTTTGGATCTCGCCTGGGCTCAGCTCGTGCCTGGCTGGGCTCTGAAGGTGTCACTTTGGCTTCCTCTGCCGTCTGTGCAGCAGCAGAGCYGGGACCCACCGGGTCTGCAGGGCACACTGCCTTCCACACTTCCCACTCRRGGGRTGGGATGAGATGGGATGRGAGGCAGAGGGCCTCTGGAATTCCTCCAGCAGCTGCCCAGCGGTGCCCACCCTCCCCTGCCACCTCCCTGGGGTGTCCTCCCTGTTGGAGGAGCTGCTCCTGGGGCGTAGCGTGGTGGGAAAGGTTCTGCTCCTGGAGCTGTTGGGGAACATCTCTCCCTAGCAAAGCCAGAGCTCTGTGATTTCTCCCTCTTGCCCTGGGCCTTGGGCTGCTCTCTGAGTCCCTGCACAGGAACAGGGGCACAGCTGAGGGGATCACATTAGGGGTGGGCTGGAGCTGCTGGGAGCATTGCTGAGGGAGTGCTGAGGGGCTGGGGACTGTGATGCAGGAGCTAAACTCCTCTCCCTCTGCACCCCTCCCCTCCCAGCAGAAGGACGGCACCTTCGCTGCCGGGGGCTACATGCCCCCGCTCCGCTTCAAAGCCCTGACRTTGGCTGTTGTGTTTGGAACCATGGTCGGAGGCATCATGATCCCAAATGGTGAGTGAGGAGCTGGGAACAAGGGCTGRCTGCTTTCTCTGGTCTCTGGTATTTGTTTTCCTGGCTGGGGTGATCAGACTCGCACCCCATCCTGCCCAGGGGCTCTGGCAGCCGTCCCGTGCTGCTGCTCTGGCACTCCTGGTAAAGACCTTTKCTGACTTTTCCTCTTCTTCCCCAGTGGAAACAGTCCTGGGCCTGACAGGTGCGACCATGGGAAGCCTCATTTGTTTCATCTGCCCAGCTCTTATTTACAAGAAGATCCACAAGAATGCGCTTTGTTCACAGGTCAGTGCTGATGCTGCTTGACATCCCCCTGAGCCCTCTGCAGAGCCTGGGAACGTGCTTCATTTGGCTGCAGCAGAGAAACTGCTCAGCACCTCCTCSAGCCTCCCCCTCCAGTCTGCCCAGTACAGGTGGGAGCTGTTCTGGGTGGGTGTCCATCATTTAGGGACACAGACAGTGGCAGAGGTGCTGGCCCAAGCTCTTTTTGTCCCTCCAGCASCAAGTGAAACAGCAATTCCATGCAAAAAACGCTGCTTCCAGTTCTCCTCCTGGTGGAATTCAGGTTTTGGATCCTCAGAACAGGAAATCCAGGCAGCCTGTAAAACCTTAAAGCCTCACATCCCGACCTGCCCGGGCTGGGTAAAACAAACAGGGCTCCACGATGTGGTTTGTGCTGCCGACCCTCAGCTTTCTGCCCTCAACCAAAATAATAGTAAAAGGGAACACACACATAGAGGTGTTGCTTCAGGAGTTGATTTTCTAAGGGATTGGGGTCGTTCACAGGCTGTTGGAAGTTTAACTTCACCTTTTGCTCCAGTCTGAATTGGCCTCCTCRGGGACTGAAACAAAGTGGCTCTTTGCTGGGCTTGATCTCTCTGCTCCTGCAAATACCGTGGGCTGAAATTAACAGGTTTTGGGATTTTTTTCTAACAATCATTTAATCCACTGCCTTTTTCACTGGCCTCTATCCTAAAATTCTCAATCAGGACAGTGCTGGGCTGGGAATAAGGTTTTGGGCACAGTGCGGAGTCAGCAGGGGTGAGCAGCACGTTTTTGTGGGGCCCGCAGAACTGGTGGCTTGTTCTGTGCTTAATGACTTGTGGCTTTGCAAACCTATGTGAATTTTTTAAGCAGGGTGTGTTTTTTTTCTTCCCTGTGCTTTCCCTGACACAAGGAAATAGTCCAACTTTCCAGCTTTCACTCTGAATTCTGACACTTAGCTCCGAACTTCTTTGAGTGAAACCCTGAGCAGGAGTCTGAATGCCAGCCTGGGTTTTTCAGGGAAACAAAGAGCACTTTCAAGAATTGCTTTCTATTCCAGCTGAGCCCGAGTGTTTCCCTGCAGTGCCTCGAGGCTGCACTCAGGACAGGCTGAGCTCTCAGCCTGGCTGCTTGGGGTGGGACACTGGGGCCTCACAATGCCTGACCCCAAACGTGGTCACGAGGCTGAGGGAGATGTTTGTCCTGCAGAAATCCCCACAAAGGAGGAAGGGCTTATCTAAAGCATCAGGCCCCGGGTTACCTCTGGAGGGGCTGGCAGCGAGCTGTCCAGCTTTCCCTGAGTGATCCATTGCCTGTCAGGTTTGCATTCCTGCTCGGAGCAAGGACACACCTGCCCGCCGGAGCCTGAGCCGGGCTGCTCAGCACCTCCCTGCCCCCACAGCCCATCCTCTCCTTCTCCCTCCAGCTCTTTGCAAAGGCTCATTTATTCTTTCCCTGGAGCTCTGTCTTTGGTCTCCTCCTTCATTCCTGCTCTCCTTTGATCAGGTGCTCCACTCCATCAAAGTCTGCTCCTAAGGAAGGTGCTGGGTGGGGGGAGAGGAGCCAGCCCTGGGCACAGCTGTCCTTCCCTGCCTGTCCCTGTCCAAACAATCTTCATGGATGTTCTTCCTCCTTCCTCCATCAGCTTTGGCCTCTTCAGAGCAGCAGACCTCAGCGCCAGCTTTTGCACTTCTCTGGGTTATCTTGGCTCTTGTGCTGCTGAGAACTGGCTGCTTTTATCGGGCCACTCTGGCACCCAGCAGCGTCCGGTGTCGGGCAGGTGCTGACATGGAAGGGCAGGTTTTTATAGGAAATGGTGCAAACTGAGGCTATGAAACAGGGATTTTGCACTGGAAGTAGTGAAGAGGGTTTGAGGAGGGGGAGGGAACTGGACAGATGTTTGCTGGCCGGCAAAGAGGTTCTGCTGGGGAAAAATGAATGGTTGGAGCCGCTGCTCAGCCGAGCTGGGGTGGGAGTGCCCTGGTTGGAAGGGTTGGGTTGGAAAGGCAGGTCCCAGAGCAGTTTAAAAGCCCAGAGTCAGGCACACAGCGCTGTGAGTGAAGCAGGGAGAGTGTTCCCTTTCTTGTGGTTAAGCATCTGTTCCTGTAAAGGTCCGTGTCCCGCTGCTCCCCGGGAGCCCCGGCTTTGGCAGAGCCGCCAAAGGGCGTGCRGGGGGCTGTGAGCAGAGTGTGGAGCTGCCAACAGGAAGGTGTTGCCTTCCAGTGTTGACACAAGCTTGTCCGAGAGGCCCCTCCTAGGGAGGCCRCAGTTGCTGCTGTCCCAGCTGGGGAAGAGGAGCTGCCGGAGGTCAGGACGTGACCCCTCAGCTCGCTCCTGTGCGGGTGGAAAAGAGATTCCCTCTGTCCTTCCCTGGCAGCGCAGGGGCCAGAACAGCTTTTCCACCAGCACAGCACATCCAGGGGTACAGCCCCCCAAACACAGCATCTCCGAGGAGGGAGCTGGTGCTGAGCGGGGCTCTGCATTCCTTCACCATGACTCTGTCCCTCGGAACGCTCCGTGTCCAGGAGGATGAGGATGGCGTCACGTCATCCACACAAATGCAGCGTGTTTGCTTCCCGTGGCTGCAGGAGAAGGGCTGAGCTAATGGCTCTGCTGTGCAGGGCTGGAGTCATCATCTTCTGGGAGGAAGGAGGGCCGAGGGAGCGTGACCGGCCGAGGAAATGGCCACGTAAACTTCCTCTGGTGAATTCCCGTCCGTGCTCAGAGCGTGGCTCCCGGGAGACAGGTCCTGGCCGTGCTGAGCTGCCCCAGAGCTCTCCACAGCCTCTGGCCATGTCTGTGCTGAGAGAGACTTCTGGAGAAGGGTCTGCAATCAGGGTCTGGGGGAGATCATTGCCGTGGCACCAGGCAATGGCTCTGAAGTGCCCTGTGGTGCTGAGCCTCCCCTTGCTCCAGGTCTCTGCATGCTCTGGGGGTTCTTTTCTGCCTGGTTGGGTTCCTTGAGCCCCCAAGTCCTTGCAGTCCTCATTCCCATTCCTTCGATTGCCTTGGTGGTCCCCTGAGCACCAACCGCCTGCTTTTCCATGCCATCAGCATCTCCATGGGATTAAACCAAATGGTGGACCTCTTTATCCTGGTCTCCAGTTGGGGAGGGGGTGCTGGGGGCGGCTCAGGGCAGCCCAGCCTGTCTCCAACTGCCACGTGTGCCCGTACCCGCTGCTCCGGGAGCTCGCAGCTGAACTCCAAATGTGCAGCAATCAAAGGGGTTTCAATCCGAGGCATTTGAGCCCCTGGTTCCCCACTAAGATAAGAAACAACAAAAATCCTTTTAAAGCATTTAATATTTTCAGCCATTTCCTACAGTTCCCTCCTCTCCCACGTTGCTCCTGGTTCCTGTGGCACCAGAATAGATCCTCTTTGTGGAAACGCTCTTCCTCTCTGCTGTTGTTTCTGGAAGGTGCCAGAACAGCCTCCCAGGCACAAAATGCATTTGTGCCGGGGCTGTGGATTGTGGGAGGGGAGGAAGTGGAGCAGCTCGAGCCCAGGGCAGCAGTGCAGGACCTGCTGACTCGGCGTTTGCCCGGGGGGGTGGATGGCAGGATATCTGCTCTTTGTGCACCCCGGGCAAGGCAGGCAGCACATTCTGCTCCTGTTTCCTCTGCAGCAGCTCTAAGGTCTGGCCTTTGCTCCCTGGCCACGCTGCCCCTGCTCCAGAGCTGCTCCACGTCCCGCCAGCCTTTTCCTTGCGAAGGCGTCGGGCTGTCTGCGGGGTGTGCTGGGAATGGGCCCTCGGGGGTCTCCTGGGCCCGGCTCTGACCACTCTGCTCTGTGTTTCTGGGCGATCTCCCTCAGCACAGGGCAGTGAGGAAAGCATCAGCCCCTCCTCCCTCTCTGGAAGTGCCAATGTTTTAATTCCTCCTTCCAATTTCACCTCTCCCCTTGATTTGCAGTTTTCTGGCAGCTTCCAGTGCTCCCTGTGGCCATTCCTGGTTTTCCCCATGCTGAGAAGATGCTTCTTGTTGTGCTTTYTGTGAATTGGGATGTAAATGCTGCACGATGAGGATTTGGGGGRAAGAGGAYRAGTTCATRGGATCATGATTTKGGCTGGGAGGGACCTTAAAGCYTATCCAGTTCCACCTCCTGCCRTGGCCAGGGTTGCTCCAAGTGCCACCCAACCCTTCCTATGACTCATGTGGCATTAGATCCTTTTAGATCAATTTGTCATCACATAACAAGCTGTAAAAATTCTTTTGCTGCTCATCACTTTCTCCTTTTTGAGGTAGAGAAATTCCAAGAGCCCTTCCCTTCACAGGATCTAGATTCCATACTTCTATTTTTATCCTGTTTGATCCTAGCTTTCTGGAAATCAGRGAGTCACTTCTCAGCAGCTTCTTGAGCCCTGGAGCAGGACCTGTGTGTGGACATGTTACTCTTGCCTTCAGACCCAAGGATTTTTATGCAGCTTCCTGGAATCTTTGGGGGCTGTAACCAGGCTGGGCTCCTCTGTGCTCAGCCAGACCCGATTTTGTGGAATTCTCATGYTGGGAATACCAGGGAATGAATCTTAGCAGTGGGATTTGTGTGTCACATGCCTTTTCCTATCCCTGTGTCCTGTCCACTCACTTTTGAGCCCTTCCARTGCAGGAGCCACCTTTTTAACAGCWTCCAGCCTCCAGAATTCCCATTCCCATGGCTCTGCACCCAAATACGAACCTCAGCCAGGAGCAGCTGGTTTTCCTGTTTCTCTCTGACATTTCTCTCCTCTCTCTGGCATGTATTACTGTGCTGAGCTTGGAATTTCATGGAGGCAGTGTGGGAATGTTGTGGGGAGCAGTCCCCTTGGTTTTCCTGTTCTAACTGTCCCTCTGGCACTTTGTGCAGATTATCCTGTGGATTGGGCTGGGAATGCTGGTGATCAGCACCTACACCACCCTGTCTGCCACCGAGGACACCCCTGTGAAGACAGAAGCAGTGGGCTTGGAGCACCTGGACAGAGAGGAGAACAGAATTGACCAGGATTTGGTTAAACTTCCAGGTAGGTGCTTGCAGCAGTTGGATTTCCCACCCCTATTCCCATCTTCACCTCTTAAAAAGAAGGAAAAGAGGTTGTTTTTTTTTAAGTGTGGCGGAAGCAGGGTCATTTCCAGGCAGCTCTGTGCATCTTCACAACTTCCTGTGGCCTTTTCCCATGAAAAGCTATGCTTTTGCCTGCTGGAAAAGCCCACTGTGACCTCCAATGGTACTTTGTGGGAGTTGTTTATTTGGGAAGAGAAAGGTGGGGAGCAGGGATTCCTGTTTGGGATGAGCACAGCACCCACCTGGCCCAGCAGGGCTGTCCTCCCCCTCTGCCAGCCCAAGGACCAGCCATCCATCACCCTCAAAGGTACCGAAATTTATGGGAACTGCCTCTTTTTTTGGTGCCGAGGATATAAATTTGGCCTCTGCTTTCACCCTGACAAAGCCTGTGATTATGCCTCAGCTTTGTTTACTGGTTCCTGTTATTTATTATTTGTTTGCTGGGGCTGCTGATGGAATTAYGGCCTCTCCTCCCTTTCCCAGCTGCTCCGGAGCGAGGCCGTGGTGTGCAGGTGCCTCCTGACCCCTCGGCCCTGCCGCGTCCTGTTCCTTCGCTTCACTTTTGTTTCCTTCTGCTCCTGCGGGGTTTTTTTTTTTTGGTTTTTTTTTTGTTCTTTGGGAGGCCTTGAAATATCCTCACGGAGATTGAGAGCGGAAGGGAGAAAGGGGCTGGCTCTTCTGGAGATTATCCTCCCTCCTGGTTCTTGGCCRGGTTCCTGCCCGGCAGCTTGGAGTGTCTCCCACACCGGTGCTGCTGCCGATAACATTCACTCTGGGCTTGCTCCGTGGTGGAGTTTACTTGTGGTTTGCTCGTGGCTTACTCAAGGTTGCGTGTGCCTTCCCAGGCACGCAGATGCCGSTGAACTCCGAGCAAAAGAGGCTCCCAATCCCTTAATGGAGCCCTCAGCAGGGCCGGGAGGAGGGATGYGATTGAATTCTTCCATCTTGGTTAATTTTGGAGCAGTAATGGCCAAAGAACAGCTGCTCCTTTCAGGAGGAATCACTAATGACACGTGTTCTGACTGGGAAAATAAAAAATCCCATAAAGCACGGTGTCCGCTGGAGTTTGCTGAATCTTCGGGGTGGCAGAGCGGGATGCCAGGCTCTGATCATCCGAGCAATCCCAGAGCCAGCCAGAGCAGCTCYGAGTGCTGCTGGATGAAATAATCCCACCCGGGAGGAAGGCGGGTTTAGTGCTCCCGGGTCATAAACTTCCCAGGGAGGGGCTGCTCCAGGGAAAAGCTCAGCTGTCCCCTGAGGTCCCTTTGGCAGTGGGGCTCCATCCTGGGGAGCAGGAACGGAGATGGAGCCGGCAGAAAAGGGCGATGAAGACCGGTAGGGTGGACGTGGGGCTGCCCCGGGAGAGCCGGCKCTGCGATTCCTTGGATCTGTGCCTCGCTGTGCCTCTGCAGGATGTCGGCTTGACTAGCAATGAGAGGCRTTAAATGGTGCCCTTCATCCCCCCCGCGGCTCCCCCTCGTCCTCACCCGCCTTGTTTTGCAGAGCGGAGCCGGCGCCTGGAGCAGCAGCTGCATCCTGTGGTTCCAGGGGCGCAGGATGCGGGCTGGGCTGCCCCCGGCACCTGGGTGCCCTCCGGATGGGCTCTGTTCTGCTCCGGGGCTTGGGTATGATCTCAGGCTGCTCCCTGGGCACTCTGCTGGGTGCTGGATGCCTCATGCCCTTCCCTGGCTGCAGGGTGCTGCTCCAGGCTCCTCTCCGGGGTGGATGCTGCCTCCAGAATCCTTCTCCCAGGCACAGGTGCCTCTGGCTGCTCCGTGCCCTTTCCCGTGCTGCCCCATGCAAGGCAAACCTCAGGGCCTTTCCCCAGCTCTGCCTTCCCCGCCTGCCTCCTGCCTGTCAGCGTGTGAGAGGAGTTTTATTGGCCTCTTTGATGTTGCGGAGCCCAGAACTGGAGAGACTTTCATTAAAGCCCTGCCCCGTGGGCCCGGGGATTATGAATATTAGAACATTGGCCTTTTATGTGAACACGTATTGACCAGCGGCCTCGGAATCGTGTTTTTCCTAACGACACCCCAGTGCCCATTACAGCCCCAGCCTGTGGTGCTGGAGGTTTTACTGTCAGCAGCTCTTCGGGAAAGGGATAAAACCCCTTCCAGCCCCGTCCTGCCGCGGCTGCGCCTCCGTTAAAAGGTTGCTAAGCTGCCTCTGAAAGCTCAGGAAGGCAATTATCCATTTAAAAAAAAAAAAAAAGAAAAAAGCTAATTAGGCAATTTCTCTCCGTATTTAAAGCACCCTCGAGGGTCTCGGGGGGATTAAGATTTTGTAATATTTTTCAGCTCCTTACTTGATCGTTGCTGCTTCGTCTTCTCCCTGGCATTGTGCAATGTTGGGTAACAAAGCCCTGATTCAGGCTCCTTGTGCAAGAGCCCTTTTCCTGGTGTGCTGGGCACCTCGCTCTGGCCATCCCGCTGTCCTGTGGATTGGGGTTATGTCATGTGGATCGGGGCAAAATTTGAGGTTGTTTGGAGTGTAGATGCATTTTACATCCCTCAATCAATGTGCTTGCCATCCAAAAACCAACCTGCCCGAGCCAGGCTGTGTCCCTGCCGGCATTCCCAGTTGGAGCAGCCCCTGAGATGTGTGGAACGTGGCTCCTGCATCCTGCTTAGCTGCAGGAACAGCTTGGCTCCGCAGCGGCTCTCCCTGGTGCTTTGTGCGAGTGAGCTTTTAATAGTGCCTGTGACACAGAAAAGGAACCAGCAGCCTCTGGTAATTTGGGTTGGTTTTTACTGCTGGTGCGTCAGGAGACAACTGTGAACTAATTTCAGGGATGCCATTCCATAACCTTGTGAAATCTGGACCCGTTCCGGGGGGAGGGAGGGCTCCYGGAGGCRCAGCTGGGCCGGGGGCTCCCCGGGGAGGGTCTGTCCCTGCCCTGCCCTGGGTGGGGGCTGCTCGGCACGTCCCAGGGCAGCGTTTGCCCCCAACCCTCTGCCCTGCTTGTTGGGCTCAGTTTTCCTTGGCACGAGCTCCTGGATCTTGCTCCATATCGTGCGATGAAGGAGTTTAAGCAGATGTGGAGCTGGGCTGGCACGAGCGTGTCCCGTGTCCCTGGTCAGCCCTGGGGTGATGCTCYGGGGTGGGTGGCGTGTCCCAAAGCTCCCTGTGCTGTCCCTAAAGCTCCCCCAGACTGGRGGCAAGCACAGCAGAGCCCATCCCRCTGCCTCTGCCCAGGARTGGGGGCACATTTCGGCTCCAAGAGGCTRGAAAAGCATGTGAGGAGGGATTTAGTGCCTGCCTGGGACCATTGCAACGATCYGAACCAGGAGCAGGGGGAGAAGGGAAGCTTTTAGGTTGCTAATCATGAAATTTTATGGCAGCCTGGAGAGGCTGTTGGCAAACCACAACACACCCAGGCACGCACACACACAAATCAGCTGCAGGACGCCCCRGCTTCCCCTCGTGCGAGCAGAGCTGCTGGAGAGCCGGGGGGTCAGAGCGAACCCTCCCGGTGCTGCCTCACGCCCCGGCCTCTCCTTGGGAGCCAAAAAGCTTTTACAGCCTCTCAGGCCTTGCCTGTAAAGTCCAAGGCCGCTCATAAAACATGACGAGGCGCAGCGTTACTGGAAGAYGCTCCAAAGGGACCTGGAGGGCAASAAGACAGGCAGAGCCTGAGCAAAACCGTTCCCTGCAAAGCACCCGGAGCCCCGGATGGATTTCCAGGCAGCCTGAGAGGTTGTTAATTCACGCCCTGATGATGAACTTAATTTTGTCTCCCGCTGAGCTAATGACGGCTTAGAGGCAGCTTGGCCTTATTGCGGCGTGGAGACTTTTGGGTTTGTGTTTTGTTTGTGTTTTGGGCTTTTCCTGCATTGTTTGCARAGCGGGGAACGTGCCTCTGCCTGATTTATGGTGGAAGCTGCCAGGGACACTCCCAAGCATAGCAGGGCCTCCCCCGGCCCCTCGGGCTGCCCTGGGCCCGCGGGGGGTTCACCTGCTGCTCTGGGCAGGGGGCTGCTGCCTTTAACTCCTCCGGTTCTGGAAGCTTCTCCCCTTCTTCCTTCGTATTTCCTGCCCTCTTTATTTCCCCTCGCACATCATCTTGCTCRTCCTTCCCCTCTGCTGTGGGAATGGGAACAGCCCTGCCCRTGTTGGGCTTCTCTGGATCCTCCGRTCCTCTCCRGCCGGAGCCATCTCCCGCCTCCACGAACCAATTAATGACAAACTTTCCTCCAACAGAGTAAATAATTTSTTGCATTGAGTCCAGGACTGAGCTGGGAACATCCGCAGCCGTGCCGAGTGCTCCCCTCCCCGGCCTCGGCCTCCCGCTTCCCAGGGCCCCCAGCCAGGGCTGGGCACTGGTTCCTGCAGCCCAGTTTTTCCTGAAAAGGAGGAGTGTCCTGCCCTGACTTGCTGAACCCTGGGAAGTCCCTTAATGGACAAGGGGACCCTTGGGTACTAGACTTGAGTTTCTCAGAAAATCCAAGTCCTTTTCCCCTCCCACCATCATTCCCGAAGCGAAGGAACGTGGAAAGGCAGCCAGCCCCACGCACGTCCCTCCTCTGGGTGTGGAGCTCCAGGCTGGACTCCGGGTTTCTGCAGAGGCTCAAGGTCCTGCTGGCACAGATCCCTCTGGGCCAGGAGTTTGTACTTAATTTTTTGGGAATTTTTTTTGTTTCCCCCCCAACTCGGGCAAGGCCCACGCAGCTGAAGTTGTGGCAATCCCTTCTTTCCCATGAGTTCATCTCGTAATAAATCGCACCAGCCCTGTGGAGGGGGAGGAGAAAATGGAAAGATGTTTATAGAATTAATTCCCCAAAGGAAATCACACGGGGGAGGGYGAAGGGGGGAAGAGTTGGGAATTTTTTTTTTTTGTTACAGAAGATAGATTTTTTTTTTAAGAGTTCGTTGGTTGGAAAAAAATCTGCAGAACAACTTCACTGCTGGGAAACAATTCAATTTCCTTCTCTGCTGCTCTCCAAAGGAAGAGTTCACTCCCTGTGTGGGTTTTCTGCCACACTGGGGGTGGAAAGACCCTTCCCATCCTATGGAATGTGCCAGAGATTCCATGTGGAATATGCTGTTGTACCAGTGCTGAATATAGCAACTGGTTTGACTGGGATGTGTCTTCTGAAAACATTCCGTCTCTTTGAGGGCAAGATGGGGGAGTCCCCCATCTCCCTYAGGAGTTTCCCCTAATTAATCCCTGTTTAATCCCCCTCCTCAAAACTTCTKCGGGAAAAGGAAACYTCCCCCATCCCTCCTCTGAGAGGCRTCCRAAAGGCTGTGGGAACTAAAAGAAAAAATAAAGGAGGTTTTGAGGTGTTTTACCGCAAACAGCAGAGGTTGGTGGGGTGGGTGGGCTGGACCCCAGCTCAGGTTCTGCTGTTGGGGGTTCAGGGGCTGGATCCCAACTCGGTCTGTCCCAGTGCAGGAGGATCCGGGGCTGGATTGCAGCTCGGTCTCTGCTGGAGCCAGGGGTCCGCGGCAGGGAGCCGGGGGGATGCTACCATCTGGTGGCACTGGCTCGCAGCGGCAGCCGCCTCCATCCCGCCTCCATCCTGCCTCCATCCCGGCTCCATCCCGGCTCCATCCCGCCTCCATCCCGGCTCCATCCCGGCTCCATCCCCGCCTCCATCCTGGCTCCATCCCGACTCCATCCCATCTCCATCCCGGTTCCATCCTGGCTCTATCCCTGGCTCCATCCCTGGCTCCATCCCATCTCCATCCCCAGCTCCATCCCGGCTCCATCCCGCCTCCATCCCCACTCCATCCCAGCTCCATCCCAGCTCCATCCCAGCTCCATCCCGCCTCCATCCCGGCTCCATCCCTGCCTCCATCCCGGCTCCATCCCATCTCCATCCCTGCTCCATCCCATCTCCATCCCTGCTCCATCCCCGCTCTATCCCCGCCTCCATCCCGGCTCCATCCCGGCTCTGTCCCCAGCTCCATCCCAGCTCCATCCCGGCTCCATCCCATCTCCATCCCCAGCTCCATCCCATCTCCATCCCTGCCTCCATCCCGGCTCCATCCCATCTCCATCCCGGCTCCATCCCCGCCTCCATCCCCAGCTCCATCCCCGCCTCCATCCCTGCTGGCAGCTCCATAAAATCCAACTTCAGGGAAAACAATCAGCTGACCCCGGAACAAAAACCCTCTCAGCCCCACTGTGCTAAGGGTGGAGCGACACCCGGCTGGGCTGGGTGGGTGAAGGGGGTTGGGACACAGCGACTCCTGGATCCCACACCTTATCCCTGTCCCCATCCTGTGTTTGCAGAGCAGAACCCAGTGGTGGAGGAGCCCGAGGATGAYCGTGATAAACCCAAAGTGCCAGAGGAGAAGGAGGAGATGGAGCAGCCACAGATCAAGGTGCCCATGCAGGTGCCCAAGAGGGAGGAGGAGAGAGGAAAGGTRGAGGAGAAAGTGCAGCTGGACCGTCCTGATCAAGGTACCGATGATCCCAGGAGAGTGAGAGCCAGGGTGGGAGCTGGAGGTGTGTGTTGTGGGACTCTGAGATACAGATCCTGAGCTCTGCTCCTTACTCTTCTCCCTCAGTCYGCCTCCGTGGTGGAATTGATGGGTTGAAGGTGATTTAATGTTTGATGCTCTGGAGGCTCGTTGGGAACGTGGACTCTGCATGAGGGAGGGACAAGGGCAGCATGGAGCTGAGTGTACTGGGTGTACTGGGTGTACTGGGAGCACTGGGAGCCCGCTGCCTCTGACCCTGCCTGTCCACCCAGGGATTGCCCTGCCTGTGGGGGAAGCTCATCGCCACGAGCCCCCAGTCCCACACGACGAGGTGGTGGTGGACATGGGGCGGGAGCGGGAGGAATCCAGCGAGAACAAAGCAGCTCCTGGAGGAGCCAGCGACCGACTGCTGGAGGAGCCGGCTGGGCTGAAGCCACAGAAGGAGGCACTGGGCCCAAAACAAGGGAAGGAAGTGGCTGCTGAGGACCAGCAGCAGGGAGGGACTGCTGGCCCTGTCCCGAATGTGGAGAAGGCCCCGGAGGCAGCGGTGCAGCGGGATGGAAGGCCGCCCTACAAGGAGCTGGAGCCAGGAAAAGCCAAGCTGGAATCCAAGGCACAGGCGGCCGTGCTGGATGGTGACACTGCCGAGGCTTCTGACCGGGACAAATCACAGCTCCAGCTCCCCAGGAAAGCAGAGGAGGCTGGAAAGYCCATGGAGAAGGATGCAGAGCCTGGTAAGCTCCTTCCACAGCAGCTCATGTGAGGAAATCCTCTGGGCCTGTAATTGCCCTGGAGACGGGACAATTTGGTCATTCCCATCTCCAGCCCAGTGCTTCCTTTTAACTCCACGAGTGCAGCACGTGAGTGTGCACAGCCCCTCCGGCAGCTGCTGGGAGAGGAGGAATCTGGTGGCTTTGACAGCTACTGCAAGAGCTGTCAAACAGTTGTTCGCTCCCCGCCGAAATGTCAGGTGCCGTGCTGTTCCTGCACGGCTCCCAAATCACCGGGGACACGGAGCCGGGAGATCTTGACAGGGAACACATTGCCAAGTGCCCGTCTAAAAGCCAGTTAGAGCTGTTCTTGCATGTTAATTGGCCGAGGTAGTTAGTGCTGGCTCGCTGCCACCAGGCATGGGATTGTTAAATATTGGGTTTATTGCTTCCCTCGCAGCCGTCGGGTTGGATACAAACGGTGCCGGGACAACGCGGAGGCGTTTTAGGGAACATCTGCACTGACAGCAAAGCTCTGTCGTCCTTTGCAGGTGAAAAGCAGGAGCTGCCCCTCCCGGAGAGAGCGGAACTGCTGGAGAACCAGAAAACCGAGGAGAAACAGGAGAAGGCAGCGACCAAGCTGGGGGGTGAGCGTGAGTCCCCAGGGCATGTGGGGACAGGGGCACCCAGATCCCCCAGGATTGTTGTGTGTGGGAGAACGGTGTCTTGAGGCCACAGTCCCTGTCGYCATRGCAGCAGGCAGTGCCTGTTCCACCWCKGGCACATCTGGCAGGGTCGCTCAGGGACCTGAGTCATGCTGGCACCTGAGCCCGGCTGCTCCTTGGTGTCAGAGCCCTGGGAAGAGGGAGACTAGAAGGGGTGAAACCGCTCTGGCAGCACGGTGGGAGGGGCGTGRGCAGGGGCACACGGGGACACCTGAGCACGTCACAGGGAAAAGCCCTGTCTGCTTCTTCCCCTCAAGGCCCTGGCTGCTCTGTCCCTGGAGTGTCAGAGCTGGAGCAGCAAAGCCCTTCCTTAGTCTGAACTCCTCCTTCCAACCTCTGCCTGGCAAGGGGATGTTGGAGCCTGAGCTTGTGTGCAGGTTCCYTGCTCTCATCCCATCCTCTTCCAGCTTCCCTCTCTCTCTCCTGGCAGAGTTTGTGGAGTCAGATCTTCTGCCAAGGAGAGCCCCTGCAGCCCATCCAGCTCCGAGACACGGTTTCCAAGGYTTTGGGTCACAGAGGTTTTATTTCCCTTCTCTTTTTCCCCTTTTCCAGAAGCAGGGCCAGCAAAACTGCTGGACCACAATGTGCTGCTGCAGGTGATCAAGGAGCAGCAGGTGCAGCACAAGCAGCTGCTGGATCAGCAGGCAAAGCTGCTGGCGGTGATCGAGGAGCAGCACAAGGAGATCCACCAGCAGCGACAGGAGGAGGGGGCAGAGGAGAAGCCAAAGCCAGGTAAGAACATGGCCAGGSAGCAAGGCCACTCCATGGGGGCTCGTGGCTCAGAGCAGCTCTAAAACCAGGCTGGGAAAGATTTGAGTTCCTTTGGCACATGGCAGAGTCCACTGCARAGCCATTTCTGGCTTTAGGTGGGGATCCAGCCCCGAGCACAGGGATAACGCCCCACGGCTCTGCTCATCCTCCTGCGTGGCCTCACGTCGCACAGAATGTGGTGGCAGGGGAAGGGAATGTTCTGAGTAAACCCTTTTCCCGTGTCGGTTTTGTCCCACAGCAGAAGCACAGCCGGAGCCTGYGGTGCCCCTGTCCAGGAGCAGGGAGGACGAGATCCCCAGAGCCAAGGCAGACACGGCTGGGAGGGCACARAGCAAGGAGCAGCCGGAGCAGCACCTGGGCCAGCAGCTCCCTGACTCCACCAAACAGCACCGGGACGTTGTGGGGAAGCTGGARGAGCCTGGGCACAAGCGGGACATTCCTGTGGCTCCTCCCAAAGAGTGGAAGGTGCCGCTGCAGGAGAATGACAGAGCTGTTAAGGATCCTGCGGAGAACCGGGATCCCCTCCGCGGGGATGCCCAGCACGTTCCAGCAGGCAGAAACCACCTGGAGAAAAAGCCCTTGGCRGAGGATTTGGGAGGAGAACGTGAAGCCAAAGCTGGAAGAGAAGTCCACGAGAAGAAGAATTTCCTGAAAGCCGTGGAAGCAGCTACAGCTCCCATCCAAAGAGAACAGCCGGGGGCTGCCAAAGTTCAGGGAGCAGGAAAGGGTTTGGAAAGAGACTCAGGAACAGACCTTAAAGCCAAAGCTCTGAGTCAGGTGGAGCCCAAGGACCTGGCAGTGGCGCCGGACTCTTCCAGTAACAGGAATGTGGCAGTGAGGGAGCAGCACCCGCGGGAGCGGGAGGCGCGGAGAGGGGCGGAGGCCGAGGGAGGGGGCGGGCAGCAGCGGGACCCGCCTGGCCACGGGCACAGGAAGGAGGAGGATGGCCGGGAAGAGCCGCGGGGCCGGCAGGGCCGCGGGGATGGGGGTCCCTCCAACGGCGCCGACAGGAAACCCGGCCCTGAGGATGCTCCAGCACCGAAATCCGAGAATGGAGCGGCCGCCCCCGGGGATCCGCAGCAGCCGGAGCACGACGTGAAACCCAACCGGGACCTGAAGCTGCAGGGGGGCCTGGACCTGCGCCGCAGGAGACGGGACCTGCTGCCTCCCGACCACGAGGAGGAGGAGGAGGATGGGGAGGAGGAGGAGGTGGCTGCACGGGGGGCCGGGGGCATCCTGATCGGCCTGAACCCCCTTCCCGACGTGAAGGTGAACGACCTGCGGAGCGCGCTGGAGACGCGGCTGAGCCAGGTGGCCGAGGGCGCGCAGCACTTGGTGCGCAGCCGCCACATCCAGCAGGTGGCACAGGACAGGAGCCCGTGACAGCTCCTCAGGGAGGCTGGGGCTCGCCGGTGGGTTTTGGGTCGTTCTCAGGCACGGGGAGGTCTAAACCAGCAGTGCTTTGCTGAACGCAGCGCTCAGATCCACGGGATCTCCTTGGATCCGTGAGCACCATCCTGGGGGCTTCCCCAGCAGCACCCCCAGCGTGTGCCTGCAAGAGGCCGAGGAGGTGGCGACGCTGGAGGTGACATTCCTGCTGTCCCCTGCGTTCCAGAGTTGCCATCCACCTCGGCTCCYTGCCAGGCTGCTCCAAGGACCTTTTCCAGCATCTCATTCATATCAAATTGCCTTCTCCAACCATCYCCCAGCTCCTCACAGAACCGGGAAGGGGCTCCATTGCCCCAGCTGTGCCGAGGGGACCCGRGATCCACACCTCGGGAAGGGTTCACAGAGGAGCTGTGAGCTGAGGACCAGCAGAGCCAATGCTCCAGAGTTGGACTGGGAGCAGAGCCTCGTGTGTTTGGGACACAGTGGTGRTTCAGGAACCTCATTTAGTAGAAAYGCTGCCTTAACAGGGCACAACTCCTGCTGTTGTGCTGCCTCTCTCCCAGGGATGGGGTTCCTCAGCCACACTGGAATCACACAGAKYTCTGCTCCYKCTGCCCTCCCCRGGTGCTCCTCTCTGTGCTCCCCAGCTCCACTTCCTCTCTCCAAAGTGCATTAAGAAGCTCAGCTTCCCCGACCCTTCCCAACCCAGTTTGATTTTTCTGAGTGATTAGTTTGGGAACAAACGTGGCAGAGCCAGGTGGATGCAGGGGCTCGGCTCATGCACACCTACCTCTTCCTGTGTTCCATCTGCTCTTCCCAGCTCCCCCTGCCCTGTTCTGCATCCAGACAGATCCCTGCTCTCTGSAAATTTGGTGAGGAAGAGCTTCCCCAAAAGCTCTGTATTGTTTCAGGCTCCCAGTGATTCATCCCTTGGGTTTTTTTGGGTTTTGCATTTTTACATCCTGACCTGCGAATGTATGGAATCCAATCCCAAAGCTCTCCCTCCACCAGCTGAGAATTCCCAGCTGAAGCCCTCAGACCTCATCACTGTGGTAGGTTTTATATCCTGATCTCCAAATGTCTTTGGTGACCTGAGTCTGTGTCCAGTGGGACCCTGCAGAGCTGGGATGGGGTGGGACTGTCCCTGCCCGGTGCTCCCAGGATGTCACAACCCAGAGCCACAGGGAAACAACCTTGGGAGTCCTTTGGGAAGACCCCTCGGAACGCTGTGGCCTTAAACCCCCTGAACCCCCCATCCCCACGAGCTTCTCCATTAACGCTGTCGTCAAGCACAAGCAGCACAGCCCCGGGAGCCCTGGAGCTGCTCCGAGGGGCAGGGATGGGCTCTGAGCACGGCCCCAGGTCTGCCCTGGGGAGATGGATCCGGGCTGTGGCACCAACCAGCCTTCCTGGAGAGGGATCTGGATCAGCTCCTTCATCCCCTTTGCTGCCTTGGTCAGACCCGCCTGTTTGTTGTTCTCTGTGTGAACATAAGGGACCAAAGATGCTCCTGACATTCCTGCTCCTGGGAATGGCGTGGGCACCCCACACTGGGCTGGAAGCCGGTGCCTTGTCTCGCCGGGAACGGCTCCCCAGGGGCGGGTGGAATGCTGAGAGGGAGAGCCCGGAGCGCGGGCTGAGCCCATCAATAAAATAAGCTGAAGCATTTTCATTTGAATTCTTTCATTTGTAATAAATAAAAATAGATCTGTGACCTTCACCCAGCCTGGGACTGCTCCTCCTTTGGGCTGGGGAGAAGGTGRCAGCTCGGACTCCGAGGGGACTATGTCATTTGAAGACAAACGGTTGTTTTGAGGGTTTTATTCCCTCCGAACGTCTCCCGGCGGGGGCAGCTCCTGGGTCACTTTGGCGTCGTCTTTGCCTGCAAAGAGTCGCGGTCAGGATGGACCGAGGCCGCCCCCCTCCGCCGGCACCAGGATGGGATCTGGGACGGGGACAGAGACGTACCGCCCGGGCGAAGCATTCCCGCAGCGCCTGGAACTCCTCCAAGCAAGTGTCCCGCCGCAGCTCCGCCGGTCCGGCCGCCGCCGCCGCCACGCACCGCCCGTAGGCCGCGGCCTGCGGGAAYCACACGGGACGGGAGCGATGGCCACCGGGACCCGCCCACCCCGGAGCCGACCCCCGCAGCCCTCCTGCAACCCCCCGGCCCCACCTGGTCCCCGCACGCCGCCAGCGCTGCCGGGAAGCGCCGCAATCGCGCCCGCGCCCGCAGCCACACACCGCGGCCCGACATCGCCTCAGCGCACGGGCGCCGCCATGCCGCCGGAGCGCTCACCCCACCCTCACACACCGCGCCCTCCTATTGGACACCGCACCCCAAAATAAACCCCTTCTGATTGGTGGCTCCGGCGCGGGTGGCTCTGATTGGTGAAAATGCTCGTGTTTACTTCCCGCCTCCCTCTGGCGTCAATCYCACGAGGTTCTTCCGCCCGGAGCCCCGCTGTTCTCGCCGGTGATTGGTTGAGCCGCAGAGATTCGCTCTCTGATTGGTGGAAAACAACTTCCGGGCGGTGGTTCCCTGACGCCGCCTCAGGGCCGGGCAGGGCCGGTGCTGGCAGTGTCATGGCGGCGCCGCTGCGGGACCGGCTGAGTTTCCTGAGCCGGGTACGGAGCGGGGTTTTGGGGGGCCGGGAGGGGAGTGGGGCTGCCGGGGACGTGGGGTCACTGCCCACCCGCGACGCCATCGCTGCACGCCCCTCTCGCTTCTACAGCGGCCTCACACAGCCCTGACGGGGCCGGGCCTGCCCCGGGGCTTCGGTCCAGTCCCCAGCACCGGGGGCCGGGTCGGGTCCGGCCCCTCTCACGCCGCCCCCTCCTCCTGCAGCTGCCGGTGTTGCTGAGGGGCACGGCCGACGACGATACTCCCTGCCCCGGGTACCTGTTCGAGGAGATCGCCAGTATCCTTCGGGGAGCCGCGGGGAGCCGCGGGCACGGGGGGTTCCCGGGACAAGGCGGGGGTCTCCGGGGCTGCTCCAGGCCGCGGTGGGTGTTGGAGACCCTCGGGGCTGGGTGGGGGCAGCCGGGGGGCTGTGGGCTTTGGCTGGGACCCTGTGGAGAGGCTGAATTCCGGCACTCTGATCGCTCCGATCCCGGCTGGATCCTTGACCCGTCCCCAGAGATCTCCCACGAGTCCCCCGGGAGCAGCCAGTGCCTGCTGGAGCATCTCCTGACACGGCTGCAGAGCAGCTCCTGCCACGTCAAGTTGAAGGTGGGTCAGTGTTGGGAGCAGGGTGGGTGATGGGATGGAACCCCCTGGCTCCAGYGGGGACAGCTGTGACCTGTCCTTGTCCCCCGAGCCAGGTGCTGAAGATCCTGCTGCACACCTGCTCCCAGGGCTCCCCTCAGTTCGTGCTGCAGCTGAAGAGGAACGCCAGCTTCATCCGGGAGGCAGCAGGTAATGGGCTGGGGGGACACAGGGGGCAGAGGGGCCCCTCCTGCTGCAGGGGCTGTGCCAGGAGCAGGGTCCTGCCCCWCCTGGGAGCATCCCCCACCCTCCCMTTTGTGTGTCTGCAGTGTTCTCTGGGCCCCCAGACCCCCTCCACGGCAACAGCTTGAACCAGAAGGTGCGGGCGGCCGCACAGGTGGGTGTTGGAGGGACAGGGCAGCCCCCAGCCCGCTCCTCGGGGGTCCCTGGGGTCCCAGCACTGCCCACACTCCTCTCTCTCTCAATCCCACAGGATTTGGCCAGCATTCTGTTCTCGGATGCGCCACTGCCGCAGTCCCCAGCGCTGCCCAACCGGCCCCCAGCCCCTGCTGGTGAGCATGGCCTGCCCGGGATGGAAATTGGGTCAGGGGGGTGGGGAACAGCAGGAAAGGGGAGCCCTGAGTGCCCAGGCTCCCTGTGACATTGCTGTGCCTCCCCAGGGATGGGCTCCAGCCCCACCCCCTGTGGTGTCCTGCAGGGATTCGGCTTCAGCAGTGACAGAAGCAGCTCCGGTGAGTCCTGGCAGGGCCATGGGGGTCACTTTGTGCCTCATCCTCTGAGCTCCCCGAGTTCCCTCCCGTGCTGTTCCCAGTGCTGAGGTGATCCCGGTGGGGCTGGGCTCCCCGGGCTCTGCCCACAGCCCCKCTCTGGCAGCTTCCACAGGCGAGGCCCTGCTGAGCAGCCTCCAGCGAGCAGCCGAGGCTGTGGCCCAGGCTGTGCTCCCGGCGCCAGGAGGGCCCCCCCGGCTGCACGGGGAGCTCCCCGAGGACACCTACGAGCCCGTCCGAGCCCCGTCCCCCGCCAGCAGCCCGGCCCTGCCGCCCCCGGCTCCTCCCGCRCCGCGCCCATCCCGAGGTGGGTCCTGTCAGAGCAGCTGGACATCTGGGGGGTGTTCCCCACCTGTCTGGGGGTGTTTGGGGACTGCAGCTCCACACCACTGTCCCCACAGTGAGCCACCAGCCGGGSCAGCCCGGGGGCGGCTGGGAGGAGGCGGACAGCGGGCACAGCTCCCGGGAATCCTCGCAGGGCAACGAGCGGAGCCGCACCTCGGACTCGGGCAGCAAATCGGGCAGTGACAGCCGCTCCGGGGCCAGCCGGGAGCTGAGCCACGGGGCTGACAGGTGAGAGGGGCTCCCCTGCCCTGGGAGTGTCCAAGGTGCTGCCAGGAGGGATGCCCTTGTTCCCCACACCGTTAATCCAGAGTGCCCCTGGCGTTGCCGGCTCTGCTCCTCCTGGGGTGTTTGTCTGTCCAGCCATGGGTGGGCTGAGCTCCTCGGAGTGAGGGTCCCTGTCTGTCACGGGGCAGCACATGGCTTCTGTCCCCATGAGGTGTGTCCCCAGCAGGGTGGATGCTGACAGCCCCGGGGACTGCCGGAGGGAGCTGAGCCTGGTGTCAGGACTGACACGTGGGGCCAGGGTCTTCCTCACCAGGGAGGAAGCTCAGCACTTCCTCAAGGAGTAAGTGTTGGAGGGGGGCACTCCCTGGGGCTGTGGGGGCTGCTGGAGCCCTTCCCTGGCTGTCTGGGCCCAGATCCCAGCATGGGAGGGGGCTGTGGACAGCCGTGACCCCCATCCCTGTGCAGATGTGGGCTCCTCAACTGCGAGGTGGTGCTGGAGCTGCTGGGCCGGGCGCTGGAGGATCCCAGTGACAGCGTCCGCATGGTGAGCACGGGGGGCTGCCCTGAGAGGTCTGGGGTGTGTTTGGGGCCTGCCTGGCTCAGCCACGCTCCCCTTTCTCGCAGAGGTCCATGTGTGCCATCTCTGCCCTCGGCTGCTCTGACCTGCTCTCCCCGGAGCAGATCTTTGCCGTGACCCGGCAGCGCCTGCAGCACCTGAGCCAAGGCAGCCCCGGGCCCGTGGCCAACCGAGCAACCAAGGTGACTCTGGGAACATCCCTGTGCCCAATCCCCGGGGCAGGATTGGTGGCCCTTGGGGACACACAGCTCCTGGGAATGGCTCCATGCATGTCCCAGATGGGTGGGATTGGCTGCCTTTCCCAGGAGCAGCAAGCCTGGGCAAGGTGATGCTCCCCCTGAGCCCTGGGAGGGGACACTGGGGACAGTCCCTGTGCCTGGGGACAGCTGCCAGGGCTGAGCCCTTTTCCCTGATGCCACTCTCACTCCGCCCATCCCGCTCCTGTCMCAGATGCTGCGGCAGTTCGAGGCGCTGTGCCGGGCCCAGCCCTCCCCGAGAGCCCCTCGCCCACCCTCAGCCCCCTCAGCGGGCTCAGCCAGGGACCTGCTCATGGACATCCCAGCGCTGCCCAGCGAGAGCTTCCTGACCCCGCTGAGCCCGGCCCCGACCCCCGCAGCCCCCRGTGAGGAGCCGGGGGTGGGATTGGAGCCCCCCAGGCAGCCCGGRGCCGCGGTGCCAGCCTGTCCCTGCGAGCAGGACGGGGACAGCAGGCTGGCAGGGGACACGGCAGCCCCCAGCCTGTCCCTGTTCGCCGGCATGGAGCTGGTGGCCCGTCCTGGGGCCGTGCTCCGGCCACACTCGCCACCAGCAGAGCCACGGACACCGGCCCAGCCCAAAGATGGGGGCACAGACACGGAGGGGACCCGGCAGCCATCGGCCTTCGCCTTCCTCAACATGTAGCTGCTGTCAGGCCCCGGGGGCTGYGGGGGCTGTGCCTCCCCTCCCTGCGGGGCCTGGGCTGTCCTGATGGGAAACACGGCCGGTGAAATGGCCACAAGGCTTCCATCAGGTGATGATGTCCCTGTCGCTGTCCGTGGGGCAGAGGGGCACGGCTCCTTGCTCCTCTTAGCTGGACAGGGCTGTGGGACCGGCTGGGACTGAGCTGGGGGTGCTTTGGGGACCCCAGCATGGCCATGGGTGCTCTGGGTGGTCCCAGCTCCAGCCAGGCTTTACGGGAGTTGGGGTGGGARAAGGTGCCGTCCCCCTGGGGCCGGGACCCACCAATAAATCCCACTCGGGTCTGGGAATGTGTGACTTCTTCCTTCGCCGCTGATGGAGCCTGGCCTCACATTCTTCCATAGTCCCATGGCCCCTCAAAAGCCCTGCCCCATTGTTCTCCCCCACCCATAGTATCCTCATACTTCCCTCCTCTTTCCTGCAACTCACCGCTTGCCCTGGAAGCCCACAATTTCTCCACTTTTTCCCATGGCTCCCCAATAACCCCATGACGCCTCCTGCCCCATAGTTCCCCCTGTCCATCCCCTGTCCCCCAATAGCCCCATGACTCCCCCATTCTCCTCATGGTTCCCCCCAGTCAGATCCCCAATATCCCCACTCAGGTTCCCAGTATCCCCACTTTCTCCCCAATATCCCCACTCAGATCCCCAATATCCCCCCTTTTTCCCCAAATCCCCCCTTTCTCCCCAATATCCCCAATTTCTCCCCAATATCCCCATGTCTCCCCCCCGCCCACGTGGGCCAGGCCCCGCCCCTTTCCTCCCCTTCCTAGGCCACGCCCACCGCCTGTCGTCCCATTGGTTCATTCCCGCTAAACCCCGCCCCCACGCCCTGCCGCGCCCCCTCCCGTCCCGCCTTATTCCCGCCCCCTTTTCTCCTCCTCAGCCAATCGCGTCCCTTCCTCCKCCCTCTSCTCCCTTCCCATTGGCCGCTSGCCGCCAGCCCCGCCCAATGGGCGTGTCCGGAGCGCGGCCGTAGGTGAGGGGATGGGGGCGTTTAATGGCGGCTGAGGGGCGGCCCCGGAGCGCAGGGGGTTCCGGGGAGAGCTGGGACACACACAGGGCTTCATTGCCGGCATCGCCYCCGGAGCGAGTGGGGCTCACCCGCCTGTGGGTGCGTGGGGCCCATTACCGTGATCGTGGGGGATTGGGGTCTGGGGGATCGGGGCTTGGAGGGTTTGGGGTCTGGGCTGGGGTCTGCGGGGATTGGGAGCTGAGGGGTCCTGGAGGGATCTGGGTCATGAGGGGCTTGAGGCCTGGGGATGTGGGCTGAGGTCATTGGGGGCTTGGGGCTGGGTGTTGTGGGGATCCTAAGGAGTGTTCTGGGTCTTGGGGGTCGTGGGGAATTGGGGTTGGGTGTCCTGTGCCTCCTGGTAAAGGCCTGGGCCTTGTGGAGTTGAGCCTTTGGAGCTGCGTGTCTGGGACTTGGGGGGCTTGGGATCTGGGGATGGGTGTTTGGGGGCATCTGGGCACTGAGGGCTTGGGCTTGGACCTGTGGCTGAGGTCCTGGGCCTTGGGAGGGAGGGAATTTGGGGGATCTGGGGTTTGGAAGCTTAGAAGGATAGGTGTGGGTCCTGGGTAATCCTGAGGGGCTCAGTGATTTGGGGCCAGGGCTTGCCTCTGGGTCATAAGGGGRATGGGGAGCTTGGGGTGTGGGGGTTCAGAGCTGGGGAGTCTGAGCTTTAGGGATTTGAGGGGTTGGGGCTCACGGTGCTGTGCTGGGCTCCTGTTTCCTGAGCMCAGCGGTTTCCATGAGAGCTGTTTGTTTCCCCGCGCTGTGGAGCCCGAGGCATTGCCAAGAGCTGAAGCCAGGGCTGCCAGGGGAGAGGGTTTAGAAGCAGAAATAAAGAAATAAAGTGATGTGGTCTTTTACTGGGGACAGTGGTGACTCCTGGCTCAGCACTGGGGCTGGGGGAATGCAGAGGGGAAAAGGTGGGAATGTGCTGCCCTGAGCTGGGGGCAGGGGCCCGTCCTGTGCTCCCTGAGAGGGAACAGACACTTCCAAACAGAAAMGTGGCAGGGTCTGGGAGCTTAGCAGGGGGAAGGATCCCTTGGGAGCTGCCCAGGTGGTTCTTCAGCATCCCAGCCCRATGTGGGATGTGGGGTGAGCTGAACATCTGTTCATCACACATCAGGGCTGTGTGATGGAGCAGCCATGGACTGTGAGCACTGAAAGAGCCCAGGATGGGGAGCAGGCCTTTTGCCTTCCTTTAGTCCTGTGCTGGAATCCCAGCCCATAAATGGGTCACGGACAGGCAGAGTGCTGGATGAAAGCAGTGAGGAGTTCACCTGGAGCCTCTCCAGGGCTGTGCTCGGGGTTATTTGCCGTGTGGCTCTTTGCAGGAAGGTTTTGTCCATGTGGAAGSAGTTCCAGCTCTGTGAGCTGTGTTTGCAGGAGCCAGAGCATCTCCTTCCGATGCTGGATGCTCCATACCTTCCCCTCTCTCTGCGCTGTGCTTCCAGGGCCCCTTCCTTCTGCTCCAACATGAAGAGCACCCGGAGCTGCTGCTCTGTCCAGAGCTCTGACGTTGCAGATCTGTTCCTGACGGGGCTCCCGRTGCCGGTGTCGCGCCGCCCCGGCAGCGCCTCTCCTGCCAAGCTCATGGCGCGCTCCGTGTCCGTGGCTGCTGATGGCAAAGCCAAGAGGAACGCTCCGGTGAGCCCGTGTGCCTCCCCTCTCCTGTGCCAGGGCCTGGGAAGGTGCCTGGGTTATGGGATGGCTCCGTGCATGCCCACATCCCCCTCGCTGTGATCCCCCAGCACCAGCCTGGCTTTGTTCCGGCACCAATCGCCGCTCGTGGTTCTCTGCTCGGTGCAGAAGAGCAAGTAGGGAGTGCCAGGATTCCCTGTTTTCCCTTCRTTGCCCTTCACCTTCCTGCACCAGTTTCCAGCTGGAAACTCCCGATTTCCAGGTGTTTCCTGCTGGCATGTCAGGCCCAGCCTGCTCCTCATGGCGCATGCCTGGTTCCTGCCGCGCCGAGGGCTCCTGAGTGCGGGTTCCACAGAGGGAATGAGCCCCAGGTACTCTCCRGGCTCTGTCAGGATCCAGCAGCACACAGTCTGTGCTCTGTGCTGAGTAATCCCTTGGCAGCACTGCTGTGCCCTTGTTCCCTTTCCTTGTGCAAAGGAACGTGTTCCTGCTGGCTCAGCAGCGCCGGAGCGAGGTGTCATTGCTGCTGCCTCAAGGAGAGCTTGGCAGCTCTGGGATGGTCAGAACTCCGTGTCTGGGCTGGCTGAGGGGGTGGGGGGAGCTCCTGAATGTGGTTGCTGGATTTCTCCTTGCTCTCCACAGGAAGATGCGGGATCCCGGGCCATGAACAACCTGCGCAGGTCCAACAGCACCACCCAGGTGAACCAGCGGGTGAACAGCTCACACAGGTACAGCTCCAGCTGGACAYGTGTCCATCTGTCCTGGGGATGGCTCTGGGAACACCCCAGCCACATATCCAACCTYCCTGGGTCCTGTGGGTGAACAGGAACCTTTCCAAAATTTGCTCTGAGCTCTATCATGCACATCAGTTAAAATCTGACCCAGATCTGGGGCATTGTTTGGTGAGGAGGTCTCCAGTTTAGAGTTTCATGGAATCACAGAATGGCCTGGGTTGGAAGGGACCTCAAAGTCCATATTAGGGATACCTTTCCCTAGACCAGGTTGCTCCAGGCCCTGTCCAACCTGGCCTGGGACATTTGTGTGTCAGAGTAGTGCCCAACTTCTGTGGGCAACTTGTGCCAGGGCATCACCACCCACACAAGGAAGAATTTCTGTTTGGGGAAATGGAGTGTATTTTTGTGGCTGTCACAAAAAAACATTCCATTTATTTCAACAGCCCCTCAGGGACCCTCCAGGCTGTGTGAGGAGACAAAAGTTCTCTGTTCCTAGTGCCCTCTGAGTTGGGATTTTCCATTCTCCTGTTGGTCTGTGCCTGTCCCTCTCTCCACATACCACCCTGGAACCCAGGAGCTTTGTGTCATTTGTGGATTTTGTGGCCATGTAACAATTCTCCAGCCTCTTTCTCCCCTGTGTCACATGGGAGTATCCAAATGCCCTGCATGGCCAGAGCGTGTCCTGTGGCTGAGTTATCCCACAACCCCTGTTCTGTCCTCTCTGCCTTCCCTGTGTCTGGCTAAAGCTCAGAGCAGACTGGAGACTTCCTGGCCTTCTTTGAGAGCGGTCCAGGAGGAAGGAAGAAACTGGCAACTCTGAGCAAAACATCCCCAGAAAAGAAAACCACRTGGAATATCCTGGTGAGGATGGCGGGCTCTGGGAGTGGGTGGGCCATGTTGGCTCTGTGCTCCTGGTGGGGTTTGAGGGGTGGGTTTGGTGCCCTTATCCCTGCTGAATCTGTGGCAGGATGACCAGCCCCGGGCATTCCCAGGCCCCTCTGGCTCSCCTGGCATCGAGCCACCCGTGGGCATGAGGAGGAAGGAAGCCACCGTKCTCCTGGCTGCCAACTTCACTGCCAACAACAGGTAGGATGGGGTCCAGAGGCCAGGAGTGGGAGGAACTGCACAGAGAAAACACCTTGAGAGGGGAAGGTGCTGCTCCTGACACTTCTGYTCCCTCCACACAAGGAGCAACAAGGGTGCGATGGGCAACTGCGTCACCACCATGGTGCACAACAACTAYTCCACTGCTGAGAAGGGTCCCGCTCCCAAGAGCTCCAACCAGGCTCCCAGCTCCCTCAAGTGAGTGTGGGGGGTCCTGGCTCTGTGGCTGGGCTGGCCCCGGGGTCRTGAGTGGCACAGGACAGGGCTGAGTGGCTTCGTCTTCTGTCGCAGCAACGTCGTCAAAGCGACCTCGAATGAGGACGGGGAAGGCAGCAGCAGCTTCGTGAAGTCTCAGAAGAATTTCTCCAGCAACAACATCATGACCCACAACAACAGCAGTAGCAGCAGCAGCAGCAGCAGCAGCAGCGTTCCCCGGAGGAGGGAGGTGACCGAGGAGGAGGCTGAGAGGTGAGGGAAGGGGCAGGAGGAGGTGTGAGGAGCTCCAGGGGAGCTTGTTCTTGTCCTGTGGGATTTCCCACTGGGGAAGGGTCTCTCTCAGTKCACCTGCAGGTCCTGGTGCTGTGGGGAAGCCTCCTGTGCTGTGCTGCACCTGCTGACCCTCGCTCTTGTCCCCCCAGGTTCATCCAGCAGGTGAACCTGGCTGCTGTCACCATCCAGCGCTGGTAYCGGCGCCACTCCCAGCGCCACAGGACAGCAGCAGCGGCTCTGGGGCGCCTGATGGCTGCCAAAAGGGAGGTTGGTCCTGGCCCCTGCTCTGTAGCCCAGACCCTCCAAMATCTGTGTCCCTCTGGCCACGCTGGTGGTGGGATTCAGGTCCCTTCAGTCACCAGACCTGGGCTGTGGGAGTCCAGGGGGCTCTGGTTTTGCATTCAGCTCACGGTCCAGAGGGGCAGGGAGGGTCCTGTTCCCTCAAAGCTGTGCTGGCTGTGTCCAGGGATAGTCTGCCTGGACAGGAGCTGAGGCCCTGTCTCAGGACAGGAGCTGAGGCCTGCTCTCCTGCAGCAGGAGCTGAGGCCCAGGGCTCCAGTTCCTCCAGTTCCCCCAGTTCCCCCAGCCCCCTGACTGGGAGCAGGCAGGCACTGGCAGCAGCAGCAAAAGTCTCCCTGAATTCTGATTGTCTGGGCTGCACTGGTGGCCACRGAGGGGATGCCCCATCTCGGCTCATCCTAATGAATCCCTAATGAGGTGGCTCGTTAGAGTGACGAGGTTTCGCAGCTATTTGTGTTTCTTTGTGTTCAATTATTTATCCCAGTAATGAAAAGCTCCGTGGCTCTTGCGTGTGAGAGTCTATTTTTAAGCCTTGTCTCCTTGGTGGCTGCAGACCCAGATGATGATATAATAATAATAATAATAATAATAATAATAATAATAATAATAATAATAGCAACGAGGATCTAAAGAAAATGAGCTGCTCCAAAGTGGAGCTGTTCCAAGGGCTCTTCACCTGCACAGAGGGGAGGATGGAAAGCCTGGATATGGGGTGACCCAGGTGTGGGTTCCCCTCCCACTCCTCAGTGGTGGCTGGTGGGTGCTGGAGAGCTCTCAGTAACATTTTTAACCCTCTTCTCTGGAAGGAAAGGCAGCAGCGGATTGAGGAGGGGAATATCCTGGATTTGCAGGAGAGGAAGGACGAGGAACGCCGCAAGATCCGGGAGGAGAAGGCACGCCTGGCCCGGCACGCTGCCATCCAGGTAGGGACAGTGAGTGACAGTGGTGACACACGGGCCTGTGTGACACCATTTGCCTCTCTGCATGTCCAGGGCACGGCGWGGGGCAGGATCAGAGCCAGCCTTGCAAATGGAGTGCTCCCTCCGGAGATGGAGGTGCCACAGAGTGGTTTCCTGCTGTGCTCCTGCCAAGCCTTGGCAGCTCRTTCTGAGCCTGTGGAGACAGTGCTGGTTTCCGTGCTGTTCCTAGGAAAATGGTGACCATGTTGAGAGACAGGGACATTCCAAGCTTCTTGGAATGGCTGAGGACGTGCATTCCCTGGAATGGGACCCTCCTCAAGAGCAGGGTCCCTCTGGAGGGGACCTTGGCAGGAAGCAAGGCATCATTGTCACCCTGCTCTTGCAGCTGGTGGTGCAGATGGGGTTGGCACAGGCTGCAGGAGCTGGCAGTAAAGCTGGAGATGTTTTAAACCCCAMATTCTCTTTGCCCTAATTGGAATCATATTCCATAGGGGGTGGGGAATTGGGGGAGATGCAGCAGTGAGCAGCTGGAGAATGCAAAAACACTGCCACAGCCTTGCAAACACAGGCTTGTGCCTTYCCAAAACTTCAGGACACTGATGGCTGCTCTGTCCCTGCAGGAGCTGCACCAGAAAAGGGCCCAAAAGGCCTCAGAGACAAAGAGCTCAGCAGAAGAGCTGGTGCTGGTGAAGGAGAGCAGGAGGGTGCCCAAGAAGAAGCCTGGTGCCAAAGCTGGCTCAGCCAGGAATGTCAGCCCGGCCAGCAGCCTCACCAAAGCCAACAACGCCGGTGAGTCCCTCCAGCACATCCACAAAGCTTTGGGAGCGAGGGGAAGGAGGGGACGAGGAGCTGTTTGCTCTGAGGAGCTGCTTCCCAGGGGCTGGCTGGGGTGAGTGCCTGAGATCAGTCTGYTCCTGCAGAGGCCAATTCCCCCTCGGCAGCCGTGGAGCAGGAAGGAAGTGGCCTGGCAGCCCTTGGCACCGTGCCCTCACAGGACCACGGGGCAGAGGACAAGCTGCAGGTGGGTCTGGCTGTGCCTCCTGGGGGTCCTGGCAGCAGGATGACACGAGAGCMTTCACTGCCTTGTGGGGAGAGCCAGAAAACTCTCACTCTCTCATCTTCTCCCTTAGGATGTGAGCTCCAGGGAGAYGGATAATGAGGACCTGGAGACAGCAGTGACMGCGGGCAGCARGGCCCCGTCCAAGGTCACCCTCAATGACCTGCTGGACACGCTCCGGCTGCTGGAGGAGGAGCCAGAGCTGCTGCCCCCRCCCAAACTCATCAAGAAGGATGGATATGCCTGGATGGACAGGGTGAGCTGAGGGGTGAGGCTGCTGTGTCCATCCTTGGGCAGTGATGGGTGCCTGGTGAGAAACAGGTGGGCACTGCTGGGGAAGGTGGTGGGGAGCAGGTGATGGAGGAGTTTGGAGGTGGTAGAGAAATGGCTTGGTGCATTGAGAGCTCAAACATCTGCAAGGAACAGCAAAACCATGCAAGGGCTGGTGGTGGGACAGGGTTCAGCCCAGRGGATGAGGTTGGTTACTGGGGTTTAATGGGAAAGTGGGGCTCTAGTGATGGAGAGAAGCCAGCACCTCCTCCTGAGCCTTCCCCTGGGTGCCCATTCACCACGGTGAATTCCCAGCAGGAGCCCAGCTCCAATTCCCTGACTGCTGATAATTTGGAGAAGTTTGGGAAGCTGAACCACTCGCCAGGGGTCCCTGAGGACGGGGCTCTGCTCTCAGAGGCCAAGCTCCAAAGCATCATCAGTTTCCTGGATGAGATGGAGAAATCRGAGCAGGAGAGGCCCAGGTCGGCTGCTTCAGCCATGCAGCGGGAGGTGAGTCCAACCCCATCTCCCTGTCCTCATTCCAGGAGCTTCCACCACCTTTTCTTCATATTTTTTTCTGCTGTGGCAGGGTTTCCTTTTGGAAGAGGAGCTGGCTCACGTGGAGCAGGTGTCRGCTGTTGCCACGGAGGTGACGAGCTCCATGATGAGGCTGAAGCTGGAGGTGGAGGAGAAGAAGAGAGCCATCAGCYTGCTGCAGACTGCTCTGGTGTGTCAGCCTCACACGTGGTTCTTGGGGCTCTGMRGCAGGGYTGTCCCTTGATTTCACAGAATCKTGGAATGGTTTGGGTTGGAAGGGACCTTAAAGATCATGTAGTGAGGATGTGGGCTGAGCTCCCATCTCCTCTGTCCTGGGGAAGTTGGATGTTCCTGCTGACAGGGGTGGGAGGTGTGAGCACCAGGGCTTTGCTTTAGCTCTGTCCCTCATTTTCCTGGCCTGATGGTGATTCCCATGTCCTGGCTGTTTGATCCCTGCTCCCYACAGACTCAGCAGAGGGAACTGACTGACCGACACGTCAAACAGACGGAGAAGGAGCTCAGCCACCAGCTCAGGCTGCAGAGGGAGCAGTATGAGGCAGCTATCCAGAGGCACCTGGCCTTCATCGACCAGGTAATGCTCCATCCCAGCTCCTGAAGGCAGAGGCTGAGGTGGCTGCAGCTGCCTGATGCCAGCTCCTCRCCCTGCCCAGCTCCTCGATGACAAGAAGGTGCTGAGCGAGAAGTGTGAGGCCGTGGTGGCAGAGCTGAAACAAGTGGACCACAAGTATGGCCAGAAGATCACCCAGATGCAGGAGCAGCAYGAGCTGGTGAGGGGACAGGGAAGATGGGGGTCCACATGTGTCCTGATGTTGCTCAAACAGGGCCTCTGCCTGGAGCAGTTCAGTCTCTGTCACCTCAGTGGGACCTGGCCACTCCAAGGAGCTCTTCCCTGTGCACAGAAAGTCCCTGTCACCATGGAGCTCTGTCCTGGTTCCCCAAAAGGCTCCTGTTTTCTGCTGCCCAGAYCCAGGAGTGTGGCACTGACCAAGGGACCCCTGCCCAGCTCCACCCTGCCTGTGGCTGTGTGGATCTGCCTCTCCTCCATCGGTCCCCTTCTCTCTCCATCCCCTCCTTTCTTTCTCCCCAGGTCTGGCGCACTTTGGGCCCCTTTTGTGAGGTAAATGTGGTCTTTGCTCTCTTTCATGCCTTGCCCTTTGCTCTCATGCCCTGACCTGCTCTGGCCCCGCTCCAGCCCCTGCCAGAGGGTTTTCTGTGGCAGGGACAGGGAAGGCTGGAGAGGAAAGCACCATTACACAGGGACAGATGGGCTGGCCTGCATGCAGCCCCCAATTCCCTTTCCCTCTCCATCGGTGCTCTCATGTCTAGGCCAGTGAATGCTTTCCCAAGGGTTTTACTCTTTTTTCCCCCATCCTGTTGGATAGAGGAGAAGGCACTGGGGGAGTGTGTGGCCACTTCTCCAGAGCACACCTGGCCAGGGCTGTGCAAGTCATCTGTAGCTTCTCTSCCAACAGCCCAGCTCCCACGCTCCTGTGGCCTATTCTCTCACAGCTTCTATGARGTTTTTCCATCTGCTTCCAAACAGGAGATTAAGAAACTGAAGGAACTCATGAGTGCAACTGAGAAAGTCCGACGGGAGAAGTGGATTGAGGAGAAAACCAAAAARATCAAAGAAATCACTGTGAAAGGTACAGGCAGGCTCCCTCAGTGGCAGCTGGAGCTGGGACGGTGCCGGGGTGGTCCAGGAGAGATTGGGAAGAGCTCCTTGGTGTGGGCAGTGTTTGCTGTCTGTTTTTGGTGGAGCAGATGCCAGAGGGCAAGAAAAGCCCTCTGTGCTCATCCCCTCTTCTTCCCAGCCCCTTTCAGTCCATGTCCACGGGCACCGGGGTGGCATCCAGGCAGCCCTGAGGTGGAGCCGTGACCATCCTTCCCCCTGTGCCAGGGCTGGAGCCGGAGATCCAGAAGCTCATGGCCAAGCACCGTGAGGAGATCCGGCAGCTGAAGCTGCTGCACGAGGCCGAGCTGCTGCAGTCGGACGAGCGGGCGGCCCAGCACTACGGGCGGCAGGCACAGGAGCTGCGGGGGCTGCTGGAGCGG